CCATAGGCTCTGAGTTTCTATGTCCCTGATAATTCGTCGGTTGTCTGTGCCGCGAAGACGAATCTATTTCCATAGCCTCTGGTGTCTGACCTTGAGTGTTCTGTGGATCAGGGCGTTGTTTAGAACTGCCCGACTTGGCCTTAGTGTAGTGAGGGTTCTTGACATGGCTACCTTGACTCTTGGCGTTTTGTGAGGTTTATTGACCATTATTTTGACGTCGACCCTGGGTTCGTTGACCCTCAGACTTTTGGGAAATCTCGAGGCTGGGCTGTGAAAACGGTTGATTGAAGGGATTTCTTCAATCCCGACACGAAACAGTAGCGGCGGCCGTATCGTGGGTCATTAACGTTTTATTTGTCAGTAGTGATAACTTTCTTTCGATTTCATCATAATACTTTAGTAAAGGCATATCGCCCTGCCCCATCGGATCCAGCTCTTGCTAAATGACGCGGATTGGTGTCTTGTCTGCGTACGTAAAATCAAGCCTATCCAAAATTACTTTACAATTTAAGACTGTGTTAAAGGAAGCTAGTGTGGCGTCCGCAGACCCCCTTACTTTATTACGAGTGATGGCGGTCACTTGATAGTGCCTAGAACTACACACACGCTGCCTTTCCCACGATACGTAATTTTCCTGCCTACCGTCAAATTCTGGTATAGACTTTACGATATCTAAAGGCTCGTCGCATCTGACGACCTGGTTAACGGTGATAGGTTGATAAACTTCAACCTCAGGGACAGATATTCTCGCGCATTGAACCTGTTGTGTTAGCTGACGAATTTTCTCGTCAAATGTGCGTGCCTGTGCTTCGGTTGCAGACCTGACGGCAATTTCTAACATTTCAGCGACAGTTTTAGTCATCATTTTTGATTTTTTCTTTGCTAACTTTAGCTCCCTATAACTGGATATAAGTTCTTTGTCGCTGCTACAAGACATTAAATGACAATAGTAAAGGGGCACATGCAATTTTTTAATTATTCCTTTTTGTCAGGACACAACAACTGACAGAAACACTTTTATTATAATTTTTTTTTTTTATTCGAACAATTTTTTCTTTAAATTTCCCCGTTAGCCGATATTGAGGTTTAAAAATCAACAAATTTATTTACTTTGGACGGAGATCCCATTTCCTTCGTGGTGTGTTGATGAGCTGTAGCTGACCGTTGTTTTTTTGTTCCGTTTTGTTTGTTTTGAGTTGAGCTTTTATTTTTATTCGCTCTGCTTTAGTTCAGCTGGGGTTTTATTTTTTGTTTTGAGTTGAGTTTTTATTTTTACTCGCTTAGCTTTAGCTCAGCTAAGGTTTTATTTTTTGTTTTGAATTGAGTTTTAACTCGCTCAGCTTTGTTTCTGCACCTTCTATTTTCACTTTTTATGCGGGGGAATATTTTTTATTTTTGTTGTCGTTTCTCCCCTCTTGCCTTCACTCGCAGCCACTGTTGATTATAAAGTTGCACGAGACCAAAATATCAGTACACGTATACATACACGCGTACATAGCAAGCTGACTGCAGCCCGTTTATTTTCGTTCCACTTTGGGGCAAGCCGTGGGTGCACAATTGTTTTTGAACGCACTTTCGTGGGTGCGTTTCGATCAAGAGCCGCTTACTCCCCTACACTTTAAAAGTTGTTTGGGTCATAGAGCCTGTAATTCTAAAATTTACTTGCTATAGTGGCTATAAAAAGTTAATTCAATTTTAATTTAAATTGATAATTATAAAATCGAATTAAGAATATAACATGGCAGGTAAAGAAAGATTTGACGATCAAAAATTAAACGCAATATGACGTATGCGTATAAGTATGCGTTTAAATGATCAGATAATTGAGGGTAAATTAAACAAAGAATCTACAGAGTTGGATTAGAAAAGCTGGCCTCACATATGAATACAGTGTTAAAATATCTAACTCGAGTAGAAACACTTGACCCAGGTGCTGATTATCGTGGCTGATCGGGTTTCAAGTGCGCTGAGTTGTTTATATGTTTATGTGTGGTTTTATATATTTAGTTATGTATATTGCGACAAAAGTGTCACAAAGTACATTTTACATAGATACTAGTGTATGTACATACTACATCTCCCTTATTAGAGAAATAACGTAATATTTTTTGGAGTTATTTAAAAGTGTATATAAAAGTATATATTGTTTGTATTTAATATTATTATTTTTTTATACCCTGAACCCATTGAAAATGGGTAAAACGAGTATAATGTATGTGTGCAATTGTATGTAACAGGCAGAAGGAAGCATCTCCGACCCCATAACGTGTATATATTCTTGATCAGCATCAACAGCCGAGTCGAACTAGCCATGTCCGCCTGTCTGTGCGTCCGCAAGAATCTCAGAACCTATAAGAGCTAGAGACTTGAAATTTTAGCTTTAGGTCATCTTAATCCATGCGCAGGTCGAGTTTGTTTCCAATATTCGAAAACTTGCCCCGTTTCCAAGAAATCGATAAAAATCGATATCGAAATCCTGTTTTTTAACGATTTTGGTAAATAAGAGCTAGATTCACCAAACTTGACATGTAGCTTCTAAAATAGTATATATATATATCAAGTATCTTTCATTTTATACCTATCGCTACCACCCCGCTACCACCCTAAAGCTATAAGTCAAGTGAAAACACCAATTTATATAAGCCACAATTTAAATGCAATTGTCATTTTGCGAATACACGAATATTTTATAGTACAATAAGATCTGCAAAAATTTCATGAAGATCGGCTAAGAAACACAAAAGTTATGTGTTTTGGCTGCCCACGTGTTTGCGTCAGCTGGCGCAAATTGCAAGAATTTCTGTATACATGTACACACACACATTCATGCGCATCTTCTTTGAATTCTATCAACAGCATTGCAAATGCGATTGTATTGTTTTCTGTTCAGCTATTTCAATTCATTTTTTTCTCATTAAGACTCAATTATTGGTGTGGCTATTGAGTAGAGGCGGTCGCAAGTAGTGCGGTGTGTCACGAGTTCAAATCCAATCGAGGCACCTATTTTATTTTTTTGTTTTATTACTGCTAATGCAAAAGAGCTGGTAGCGCGCGCTTCATTGTATTGTTTTGTGTGCTGCTAGAAAGTAGTCCTTTCTGTTGCGAGCTCTGACCTACCGGGGAAATTGGTTATTTTTTTGGCTGGCGTGGCTGTTGGGTAGCGGCGACAAGTAGTGCGGTTAGTTGCGAGCCCTGCCTAGGAAACTTTTTTTTTTTTAATTTATCTTTATTACTACTTTTAAATTACTACTACTTGAGCGCGTAGCGCGAGCTTCATTTGGTGTTGGAATAAGAGGGTTCAGTGTATCCCCTAGTCATCCGATGGTTCCAATTATGACTCAAAAGGTGTTTTTAAAAATAATAATCGAGGATTAGTTTCGTGTTCTGTGGCTAGTGTAAGAAATGATCAGGTGACACCAAAATGCTTATTGCATTTCCGAAGGCCAATCGTTAGTGAATTGTTCGGCATATACCGCATGGTCAGTAGAGCAGTTCGCTAAGGCGGCTCTTTTATGCATCATGTAAGGCAAATAAGTGCAGAGTATGCAGTCGTTCTCATTACAAACAACCCTTGACTCTGCAATGGATCTGGTCCGCACAGTGTCTGCCAGTGTAATTCTAGCTACAGCAGTCGTTAGAGTCAAAAGAAGAAATGACAATTTTTCTTTGGCAACAACTTTACTGGATTCTGGTTTAAAAATTTATTTTGTAACATTGGCTATATCAGTTTTCTTTGGATTGGTCAAGTTAAAAAAAAGATCCATGCAGTGGTGAAGTTGTGATTAAATTTCAGCGAGCTTCCCTAGATCTGTGGATCTTGAGGATCATTTAGGGGCACCAGCCTGATACGTTCAATGTCGGTTGGAAAATCCGATAGCCTGCATATGGCTGAACCATATTATCACAAGCCACAGAAGCTCGACAAGCACATCGACGCTGAGACGTTTCTTGAACTTCTCGCTTTCGGTCAGATTAAATAAGTCCCGAATTGTCCGATTCCTGACCAAACCAAGCCTAGCTCTATCTCTACACGCCTACACCATCGGGCCGTGGCCTCGTACTAACTATGCTAGCGGGCCGTGGCCTCGCACCACTACTCTATCGGGCCGTGGCCTCGTACCGCTACTCTATCGGGCCGTGGCCTCGCACCCACTCCACTAACGGGCCGTGGCCTCGCATCAACTCCACTACCTAAACACTCTATCGGGCCGTGGCCTCGTACCACTACTCTACCGAAACACCAACCGGCAATGCCCACCCCGGGGCCACAATCTCGTACCACATGCCCCTTGCTCGAGGTTAGGTCGAACACCGGTTAGTTCCGATGTTAAGGTAAGCCGGGTTACCAGGAAACAGAGAATTATCCAGTTCTTTCTTGATAATTATAACATAGGCACTTTATTCACTTTTATTAATTACTACTTTATAGTAATTCCTGAGCTAAACCCTGCCGCACTGTTTTCTGGAGCCCTAGCGCTCCGCTATACCATCTATGATCTTTTTTGTCTCACGATGCACTTCTACTCACCCTTAGTGTTCGTTCCAAAGTGCCGGCGCGCTCGCCGGCGAGCCATGCGCTTGCCTCGGCTGCTCAACTTCACCGCGAGCTTTCGCATCTTCGCCTCGGAGCTTTCGCTCTTCGCCGCCGAATTGAAGTTGCGCTCTCAAAGACGGTGTTGAGCAACCGATCGACAACGCACGGTCGCAGCGGCGGCCGGCGGTTAAATTCAAACTCACTCTTGTTCAGTTAAATTAATTATAATATTTGCGGCTCCTTGCCTCTTTACTCCTAATACTGAATTGCTCATAGTATTGATGGCTCCTTGCCTCTTACTTCGCTAAGATCTTAACCTAATACAATTAATACTTATAAACTAAAGAAAAATTAATGAGTTGTCCCGCCAGCGGCTCCTTGCCGTGATTTGGCCAAAGGGATGACGGCTCCTTGTCGTGAAAAACTGTGGGGTGGCTGATCTCATTAGCCGCCTCACACCCCCCCCTCACTTCGAACAGGTGACGGTCACGTCGCCTCTCGCGTTCAACGTAACGCTGTAGTCGCGCTCCCCGTCGGATACGTGGAACCGAGTCCGTCGGCATCGGAACCGGCGGATTCGCGCCTCTCTCGCGATCAGTTCCACCACGCCCGACGACAACGGTGTTCCACGAGGAAACACCTTCCAGCCCGAGGGGGTGGAATCGGGCACAGGTTCCTTGACGGGGCTCTCCGGCGTTACCTCAACGTCGGCACTGCGGGCGACCGCCTCGACCTCGGTGTCGGGTTCCTTGGTGGGGCTCCCCGGCGTTACCACAACGTCGGCACTGCGGGCGACCGCCTCGACCTCGGTGTCGGGTTTCTTGGTGGGGCTCTCCGGCGTGACCCTCACGTCGGCACTGCGGGCGATCGTGTCGACCTCGGTGTCGGGTTCCTCCTCCAGCACTGAATCCAGGCTAGTAGCCCACCCGTCGATACCGTCGAAAAGGTCCACGATATCGTCCCACAATTCGCTCTCCGTGGGAGTCTTTAGAATCATTGGGGAGGAATCCTTGGTTGAACTCGAAGGCTTGGGCGACGAAGCCGTCACCACCGCGTCCTCTTCCTCGGACCACACTTCACCTCGGCCCTCCTGGCGAATAGTGAAGGAGCCTTCTAGGGACGGCGCCTTGCCTTCTTGGCCGAACCAGGCGTCTTCCAACTCCCGCCGGGCGATGGTGTCAGGTGTCTCGGCGCGGGCAATGGGCACGAGCGCGGGCATCTCGTCCTCGTGGTCGAACCACTCATCCTCCGATCCCTTTCGAAAGGTTGCGTCAGACGCCTCGGCGCGGGCTGTGGACACGGGCGAGTTCGCCTCGTCCTTGCTGCCGAGACGGCGCTCCTCCACGACCATCTGGCAGACTGCAATCGGTATCGGCCAGGGCTCGGGATGCCCTCCTCGAGAAGCGATCTCGCAGCGGCGGTTATCCTTCCCGAGCTGGGAAGGACCCTTCTGGCGCTCGCGGGGTGAACGCGGCACGCGCCGCTGCGATCCTCCGGGCTTCTCGGTCTCCGTACGAAACCTCTTCGTTGCCGACGAGGATGCTCCCTCGGGACTGGGTCGGCGTTGGCCTCCACTCCGGCGACGCTTGCCCCGGGCGGCTCTCCGTCGGCGATGGCGGCTGTGTCGGCGCTTTTCGCCTGGGCCTTCTTCGGCACCCCCCCATTCGCGCTTTGCAAGGTTAAGACGGGGTTTGTCGGCTTCCACGGGGACTTTCGGTAGGTAGCGCAGCGTTATCCGGGGAAACTGGCTGCCCGGATCTACCTCCAGACGGTGGGTGGCGAAGCGGCGACGGAATGCCGGCTCGTCCTCCTCGTCCTCCGTTGACGGGTTCCTTTCCGCTAAGGGTTCTGGATCGCGGCTCGGCGTGTCTGCTTCCCAGCCGCCATTAGCATACCATCCCGTCCAGCCTCTCCATGACGTTGGTCCGCCGGGAGTATAGTGTATGGCGGAACTGGCGAGGCGGCCCTTCTTGCCGTTCTCTTCGATTGTACTCACGCCCCTGACGTGGGTCGCGCGGGCGGACTCCGGCTCCCGGCCCGGGGAAAGGCTCGGTGTCTCCGCTGCTGACGTCTTCGTCTGATGATATGTTGATAACCTCGGGTTCCATCTGAAAATTCAGCTTATTGGTTAACTTACTTACTTATTTGTTAATGCCCTATCCTCTCAGTGCGGCTCACATTTTACTATGCCTATTCTCAATAATGTTAGTGTTAGTCTTATCTTAACTTAATTATAATAGTTTCGTTGGGCGACGGGTGTTGCTCTCATCCTTCGCTTACTCGTGGGCATTTAAGTGTCCTGGATCTTCGTCTTCTTCGTCGCTCTTCGTCTTTCGGTAGAATGGTTTCAACTGTGAGATGTTGGCCACCCTCTTCTTGTGCTCGCCTGATTTCACCAGCCGTACAATATTGGGGGATATGAATTTGACAACCCTGTAGGGGCCGTCAAATTTGGGTGCCAACTTTGCGGCGAAACCTTCGGCTGCGTTGGACAACTGGTGCTGCCTCAACAGGACCATCGAATCCAGCGAAGGCCGCCACTCTCGTCTTCGCAGGTTGTAATACCGGCCCTGGATCTTTGATGCGCGCTGGAGGTTGCTGTGGACGATATCAAAAATTTCTTTTAGCCTATCCGCCTTTGTCCTAGGGTCGAGCGCACTAGTTGCGTACCCCGGAGTCACCTGATCGTACAGAGCTGCGGGTAACCGAGGTTCCCTGCCCTGCATCAGGAAAGCGGGACTAAAGCCCGTTGAATCTGCCACGCTCGTGTTGACCGCCAGCGAGATCTCGGGCAAGAGTTCATCCCATAAACTCTGGTGGCCCTCAATAAATTGCGCTATCATGGTCTTTACAGTCCTGTTAGTCCTCTCAGTGGGATTCTCTTGCGGACAGTACGGGGCGGTATACTGGATCTCTACACCCAGGGACCCCAAAAATGACTTGAAGCTCCGGCTCGTTAACTGTACCCCGTTGTCGCACACAAACTTCCTAGGTACCCCGAACCTACTTAGAATCCTCTCTCGAAACGCAGTCTGCAGGTGTGCTGCTGTGGCTCTCCTGAGAGGGACCAATTCCACCCACTTCGAGAAAGCGTCATGGAACACCAGTAGCATCGTGTTCCCATGTCTCGACCGTGGAAGGGGTCCGACGAAGTCCGCGCAAAGTACCGCCATCGGCTCTGCCATCTGCCTCGTCAGCATGCGACCAGCCGGTTGAATTTTTGACAGTCTTCGCAATATCTGACGTATCTGACGGCATCGCGGAACATACCCGGCCAGTAGTACCGCTGGGCTAAACTCGTTTTTCTGACACCTTGATGTCCGGCCGTGGGAGCGTCATGACATTCCCGCAGTACTCTCTGGCGTTGACCACTGCCTACGCATAGTTTCCAGGGGATGTAGTCCTCATCGTCTATCCGGTGACCCAGATGCCTATATAGCTGTCCGTTTTCCTCGATGTAATCCGGGAACTTGGCTGGCTCTTCGGCGATTCTGGCACGCATACTCGCGACCCATTTGCAGGGGGCCTCGGCCACCACTGCTTGCTGACAGGTCTCTAGAGGATGCCTCGATAGCGCATCGGCCACGACGTTGAGCTTCCCTCGACGATAATGGACGTCAAATTGAAACTTTTGCAGTTCTAACGCCCATCGCGCGATTCTTCCGGACAGACTCTCGATCGAGTTGAGCCACTTGAGTGCTAGATGGTCAGTTATCACGTCGAACCGGTACTCTTCTAAGTAGCAGCGCAACTTCCGGATCGACCACACTATTGCCAGGCACTCTTTCTCAGTGGCGGAATAGTTCACCTCGGCCTTTAGCAACTTCCGGCTCGCATACGCTATCACTCGCTCTTGGCCATCAATCGTCTGCGTCAGCACTGCGCCGAGGCCATACTCACTCGCGTCAGTCTGCAAGACGAACTTGGCGGAAAAGTCGGGGCAAGCCAACACAGGGGCAGTCGTCAAGCTCTCCTTCAATTGGCGCAATGCCTCCTCCTGTTCTTGCTCCCATGCCCATTTCCGCCCCTTCATTAAGAGCGCTGTGAGTGGCTGTACTTGAGTCGCGAAGTTAGGGACGAAGCGCCTGTACCATGACGCCATCCCGAGACACTGCCGCAGTTCTTTGCAATTTGTCGGGGCCCTCAGGATACGTATCGCCTCCACTTTCTCCGGATCGGTACGTATTCCTTCCCCGCAAATCACATGTCCTAGGTAGACTAACCTCTCCCGGAAGAAGCTGCATTTTTTTCCTATTCAACCTGAGATTGGCCGCCCTTAGCCGGCGAAATACCTCCCTAAAATTCTCTACATGTTCTTTCGTTGCTCCTATTACCACGATGTCGTCTAGGTAGGCGAACGCATGGGGCTCCATTTCCGGTCCGATTACTGTATCCAATGCTCGCTGAAAGGTCGCGCACGCCGAGTGTAGACCAAATGGCATCACCCGCCATTGGAAAAGACCTCTTCCAGGGACTGTGAACGCCGTACACTCCCGACTATCGGCTGCCATCGGTATCTGCCAGTACCCGTGCTTCAAGTCCAGAGTGGAGATGAACCGGGCGTGACGCAACCGCTCCAGGATGTGGTTAATACGAGGCACCGGATAAGCGTCCGGAATGGAATGCGCGTTGAGTTGTCGGTAGTCAATACACATACGCCACTCGCCAGTCTTCTTCTTGACTAAGACGATCGTAGCGCTGTGCGGACTACGCGACGGCTCGATGGCATTTACCCGGATCAGCTCATCCACTTGCTCGTCGATCACCCTCTGCATGGCCGGATTCTTGGGATAGTATCTCTGTTTCAACGGCTTGTCATCCTTCAGCCGGATCCGGTGCTCCGCGATGTGCGAGATTCCCTGCAGCCCCTCGAAGAGAGCCAGTTCTGACTCCAGAAACTCCATCAGTTCCGGATCCAGATCCGCTGGCCACTCCGCCTCTTCGATGTCGTTCTCACCCCCTCCTGGCACCACTTCGACTCCAGACAGAACTCCATGGCCGCTCGATTCGGGCAATTGCTCCTGGCCCTCTATGTCCGTGTGGATGCTGGTCATCGCTCCTACTCCGTCCTTTCCCTGGCACGTTCCCACCGTGCCGCTTCCGTAGCCATCAGAAGTCTGCCTCTGCAGTTCTATGCGCCACCTCTTGGGTTCTCCAGTCTGTCGACTCGAGCCGGACTTTACTCCCCTTTTCCTGGCCTTTTCCGTCGGGTGCCGAGCAGGTACCCCCTTCTCATGACTTGGGAGGCCTGCCTCTGGCTCCCTCTGTAGCCGAGCAGGTGCTCCCCTATCATGACTTGGGAGGCCTTCCTCCGGCTCCCTCTGTAGCCGAGCAGGTGCTCCCCTATCATGACTTGGGAGGCCTTCCTCCGGCTCCCTCTGTAGCCGAGCAGGTGCTCCCCTATCATGACTTGGGAGGCCTTCCTCCGGCTCCCTCTGTAGCCGAGCAGGTGCCCCCTTTTCATGCCTTGGGAGGCCTTCCTCCGACTCCTCGCTCGTTCCTGGCCTCACGCCCGGTGTCGTCACTGCTTCTAGGACCAGTTCCGCCTCGCCGCAGCGTATTGTGGTGCCCATCGCACCCAAAAAATCCATACCCAGGATTACGTGGTCCAGCATTGAGGGCATGATGAGCATCGTCATGCTGATCGTTTTTTTCCCCTAAGCTGACGTCTACTCTCAAAGCTTTTTCCACCTCTCGGGTGGACCCATCTGCCAGGCGGATGCTTGCCTGTATTTCCTCCGCTCTTCCCCGAATCGTCCACTTGCGTACGCAGTCTTCACTCATGAAGCTACGAGTGGCTCCGGTATCGATTGTGGCGGGCATCGTTCGTCCGCCAATCTCTACCGTAGCGACGATCCCGCCACCGTCCACCTTCAGTGGGTGTCCTACTACTGCGTTCCGTGTGTATTGGCGCCGACCCGATCCTGGCCCGGACGACGCCGTTGCCCGCTTCCCGTCTCCGCGCGGCGGCAACACTCCTGACTACTTCGGCCCCGGCTTCCACATAACCAACAAAATAAGACAGGGGCGTTGGGACATTCCCTGGCAAAATGCCCCTCCTGTGCGCACCTACGACACGCCCGTCGCAGATCATATCCGTTCCCGGCCTCCTGGCTCATCATCTGATGGGCCACCTCTGCGTGAGTTGCAGCGGGTGGGGTGGAGACCCTGTTGTCCACAACGGTCGTGCCGGATCCGCTGGGAGCAGACCGGAACGGATTGAGATGTCCCGAGGACTGCGCCGTCCTCGCCCACTCTGCACTATTTGAACTAGAGACACCCGGGCCCATGGGTTGGCTGCCTGAGTACTCCGCCCTCTGCCTCACGACGGTCTCGTATTCTACGGCCAGTTGAGTTAGCTGGGATAGGGTAGAGAAGTCTTGCCGTCGCACATAAAGCCTGTATTCCGGAGCGGCGTTCTCGTAGATCCGGTGCAGCTCTTGTGCCGGCTCGTATCTAGCGTGGTGCATAAGAGCCCTCAGCTCGATCAAATATTCTTTGAACGCTTCGCCTAAGCGCTGCCTCCGGGATCGGATCTCGTCCTCAAGCCTCTCGAAGTAACGAGGGGGTAAGAAAAACTCCAGGATACCCCTCCTAAACACGGCCCACGGCACATCCCTTAGCCCACTGCTCAGAAACCAACGAGCAGCCCTATCGCAGAACACTTCGCTCATTGCCCTGGGCATTCGGTCGAGGGCAATGCCATAGGTGATGGCGCGCTCCTCGAGGTCCTCTAAGAACCCAAGGGGGTCGGAGCGGCCATCATACCTCATACCCGACTTCCGAGCTTGCTCTGGGACATTGGCAAGTGGCCTCGCCTCCGATTGATGGTATGGTCTAGTGTGGTAGGGACCACCACCCGGTTCAACAGGGGACCGTCCTACCTCTGCGTTGACCGCAGTTGCTCGGCGTTCTTCATCCCCACCGAGAGCAGGAACTGCCTCCACGCCCGAGACGGTCAAACTTGGGGTGGGCGCCTGCAAACGCCCGTACAACTGGGAGCTTCTGAGGTCAGGTTCCGACTTTTGACGTGGCCGTCCACCAAAGTCGGGTGGGACGCCCCATGATGGCGGCTCAAGAGTTTTAGCGTACTGAAATTCCAGCTCGGCAAGCCGAGCCCAAATCTCAGTTGAATGACCGCCATCCTGCACGTAGGTGGACAGCCGCTTACGTAGCTCCTCCACGCGCCCCTCCTTTTCCAGCCCAAACTCCTGGGCGATCGCCACTAACTCCTCTTTGCGTCGCTGGTGAATCCAACGGACGCCTACCCCCGGGTTTTGGCACTCACCTGCCTCCATCCTTCATTATATACCTTCTTGGTAGCCGACGTCGCTGTTTCCCTCTCTTCCTGTTTGGGGGTTCCGTCGGTCCCTTTATTATTTCTCTCCCTTTTTTCTTTGATCAGTTGGTGTCTTTGTCACTTTTACGCCGATCTTACTCAGCCACTTTTGATCCTTTTAGTTTTCCTTTTATATCTTCCACCAAACAAAAATAAAAAAAATTCCAAAAAAATTTTTTCCTTGTTAATTAAAACATAAAACATAAAACACTTTTAGGCCGTTCCTCACTTGGTCGCTGCCTGCGCCTTTATTGTTTCCCTTGGTTTATTCTTGTGTATTTAATTGTTTGTTTTATTTCTTTTATTTATTTTTGTTTAATTAACTTTATTTATAAAAATTTTATTTTTATCCACTTATTTTTATTTATCTTTGGCCACTTCTCAAAAATAATAAAAAAAAATAATTATCTTGACGTTCTTTACACTTTAACCCGCGTTCATTTGATTCGTTTGGTTCTTGTTTTGTTCTTATTGTTCACTTCGTTCGCATTCGATCTTAAAATGCGACCATCTTCACTGCCCTCGACAACTGTACAGACGAATTCAACTTTTCACCGCGCGTGAGTTGAATTCGTCCCACTGTACAGCCGCTGCCGCGACGCCTTAACGGCCCTTCGACGCCGACGTCGACTGCGCCGCGCGTTTGTGCACCCGTGTGCGAGCGTGATCTCGACGTCGCCCGTCTGGCGCGCGCGCAATGTACTACGACCGTTTTCGTCTCTTTGCTTTGCGTAGGAGATCTGCACACATTTTCGTCGCGAAAATGTTGCAGGTGTTCATTTTTCTGCCTATGCCTAACACAGGGTACAAAAATGTTCGCTAGAGTATGCTGGACTACCTAATACCCTAGTTTGATACTTCGCCTATATAATAATAATGCTTTATTTTATTCCCTTATCCTCCGTACCCTGACTCCAGGGTATGCCCGACTAAAAATACCCTGTATACAAATTTTTTCTTTAAACAAAAAAAAATACCTATTTTGGCATGTTTGCGGGGCTTTGATCCGCCGACATGCCACGCCCCCTAAACGCCTCTTGTCCCTGCTCGGGCGCCACTTGTAAAGAAGCTACTGGCCGGGGTATAACTCTCAGTCTTACCAGGTCTAGCGAGTTACAAGATATTTATAATTTCGCTGGGAGAGAGGGCTTAAGGGGGAGGGTTGAATATCCTGACCAAACCAAGCCTAGCTCTATCTCTACACGCCTACACCATCGGGCAGTGGCCTCGTACCAACTATGCTAGCGGGCCGTGGCCTCGCACCACTACTCTATCGGGCCGTGGCCTCGTACCGCTACTCTATCGGGCCGTGGCCTCGTACCAACTACACTATCCAGACACTCTATCGGGCCGTGGCCTCGAACCGCTACTCTATCGGGCCGTGGCCTCGCATCAACTCCACTACCTAATCTCGTACCACATGCCCCTTGCTCGAGGTTAGGTCGAACACCGGTTAGTTCCGATATTAAGGTAAGCCGGGTTACCAGGAAACAGAGAATTATCCAGTTCTTTCTTGATAATTATAACATAGGCACTTTATTCACTTTTATTAATTACTACTTTATAGTAATTCCTGAGCTAAACCCTGCCGCACTGTTTTCTGGAGCCCTAGCGCTCCGCTATACCATCTATGATCTTTTTTGTCTCACGATGCACTTCTACTCACCCTTAGTGTTCGTTCCAAAGTGCCGGCGCGCTCGCCGGCGAGCCATGCGCTTGCCTCGGCTGCTCAACTTCACCGCGAGCTTTCGCAACTTCGCCTCGGAGCTTTCGCTCTTCGCCGCCGAATTGAAGTTGCGCTCTCAAAGACGGTGTTGAGCAACCGATCGACAACGCACGGTCGCAGCGGCGGCCGGCGGTTAAATTCAAACTCACTCTTGTTCAGTTAAATTAATTATAATATTCGCGGCTCCTTGCCTCTTACTTCGCTAAGATCTTAACCTAATACAATTAATACTTATAAACTAAAGAAAAATTAATGAGTTGTCCCGCCAGCGGCTCCTTGCCGTGATTTGGCCAAAGGGATGACGGCTCCTTGCCGTGAAAAACTGTGGGGTGGCTGATCTCATTAGCCGCCTCACAACAGTTGACATTAAAAAGATGAACAGGCCGGTCATGGTGCATTAAACATATCGAGATTTCCATCCGACTCTCAGGTCTGTCAGTTTTAACAACGAAACATACGGTACTGCGACTGTCCCGTTTTTGGCAATACGGTGTTTAACAATTCCAAGTGAGATGAGCGAGTCTTCCAACTTTTACGTCGATAATTTACTGTCAGCGTCCTATATTCCTAAAGAACCGTCAGATGATTACGGCAGGTTTCGAACTAACCAAATGGTTTCCCTACAACAATCGAAAATTATTATATTTTAGAAAAGTGAAGCTCGTTAATGCTGAATCTGATGAAATATCTTAGAAAAAATAATATTTACAATATTTTGCCACACCTACTGTTCGACCGATGAAAGAGAATTTAAAATATAACATTAAAAGTGTAAAACAACAACAGTAATGTCTTCACCGTTCATTTAAATTACATTTTTGATTTTCGGCTGGTGCAAAACTATAAGCGAACTATAAAAAAACATCGAAAACATTATTTTTTTTCAACAAAAATAATTGTAGTTAGCAAATTAATAACGAGTATACCCTCCCTTATTTTTAATTAATTTAGCTATGCGCTTTGGCATGCTATTAATTAGATTTTCAAGCGTTGTTGCAAAGTGATTTCCACGCCTGAATTATAGCCACTTAGATCAGATACGATATTATACTGTTTGTTTTCAGCATAAATACTTCGTACCAGTAATAGCCATGGGTTTTATATTTGGTTCATATCTGGCCAACACGCTGGCAATGACAAATTAGTTACTTTGTGGCATTGTAACTTAAAAATTATATGGTTTTATATATTTATAAATGCAAATTGTGGTGGTTTTTGTATAATTCCACAACTGAACACTATCAACTTATTAAGGCTAAATTAAGCTACACGGCAACGAAGCGAGGCGAATTCGCTTCCAGAGCGACTGACAAAGCTTTATTGCGCTCTCGCTCCGCACTAAGCCTAACTTACACTAGACTTTATAAATTTGATTATTAAATGCGCAGATCTGCGCCAACACCGGCTACCATGAATCGCTTGGGGGCTTCATTTGACAGATAGCCGTACCAACTTGTGGATCGGGCTTTTGACGTTTCCGCCACTGGCCATGCTAAGTTCAGCCACCCAAACGACGCCGTACTCTCCTGCCTGTACCGCTGTCACACAGCTGATCAGCCACTGTTGGGGCGGCA